GTGTAGAGATGTTTTGTTCAAAAATAATTTTAAATGCATTTATTTAATTAATTTATAAATAATACATAATATCATATATATGCCAATTCAAAGGGGCAGTTTGGTGTAGTGATTAAAGCACCAGGCTAGAATCTCTGAGTTCCTGAGTTCTAATCCCATCTTAGATACAAAACCTGCAGGGTGATTTTAGGCCAGGCACTCTTTCTCAGCCCTTGGAAGCAGCCAAGAACAAACCAAATCTTGCCAAGAAAATTGCAGGGATGAGTCCAGGCAGCTGCCAGGAGATAACACTGACTTGACAAATTAGAACTCCAGAAATGTTTACTTATTATTTGCTGCAAATGTTTCTGCCTACTCCAAAGTCAGTAGGTTGGGAGATGTTACTAGGTCACCTGTAACTGTGATAGTGACTACTAGGCAAAATGGGCATTGCATCTTTAAATGCAGCTTGATACCTAGTACAGATACAGCTTTTTAGGTTCCTTGCACCTAAATATGTGATAACATGTAACGCCAAAATTTAGACAGTATTATTTAAGAAAATAAAACTATGGGAAAATAATATGCTTAAGTAGGTAGCAATGGTACTCCACACATACCCAAATTCACATTTTCTATACAATTAACTTGAGAATATGCATTTGAAATCCCGTGAAAGAATATCCTCTATGATATGAATAAAATAATTAATCAAAATCACATTAACTTGTATTTGTATTTGAGCTACAATTTCAAAATCAATCTTTTTGCCTGTTTTTTGCTGACCTTTCCCAAAAGTAGCATGAAGCAAAAATGTTATATAGCCAAACAAACACATAGAATCATAATCAAAAGTTTAACATTTATATGTAACTCCCTATACAACTCAAATGTAGCACTGTAAGAAGTAAAACGTGCTTTTAATTAACAGCTGAAGCCCTTTACCTGCTGCTAATCCCCTTACTATTTGCTAGGTTTTGGAGGCTGCATGAAGGATGTTAAATTTACACGAAGTGCTGTCGTTAACTTGGCATCTGTGTCCAGCAGTGCTGTCAGAGTCAATCTGGATGGATGCCTATCAACTGACAGTGCTGTAAACTGCAGGGGAAATGACTCCATCTTAGTGTATCAAGGAAAAAAGAAACATGTATATGATAATGGCCTGCAACCATTTACAGGTACCACAGTGGCTCCTTCCTTAAAGGTATGATTTTTGTTCACTTTGCAATGATTCTATATTAATCTCTCTCTCTCTCTCTCTCTCTCTCTCTCTCTCTCTCTCTCTCTCTCTCTCTNTCTCTCTTTCTTTCTCTCTCTCTCTCTCTCTCTCTCTCTCTCTCTCTCTCTCTCTCTCTCTCTCTCTCTCTCTCTCTCTCTCTCTCTCTCTCTCTCTCTCTCTCTCTCTCTCTCTCTCTCTCTCTCTCTCTCTCTCTCTCTCTCTCTCTCTCTCTCTCTCTCTCTCTCTCTCTCTCTCTCTCTCTCTCTCTCTCTCTCTCATTCTCTCTATCCCTCAAGAATATTTATATCGGGTAATTGCTTCTAATGAAGGAGGATCTGTATCTAGTGCCTGGAGCCGTAGCCGCACAAGAGAATCAGGTAATTAATGTTTCTGCATAGTGTTCCCACATGAAGTCTTTATTTAGGTTGCCAATATGTCAGTATGGACATATTTAGATTGGCACTAGCAAAACACAGTAAGCATGTAATGCAAGAAATTCAACTCAGTCAATTTTACCCTCCCAATCTAAAAAATTTAAAAAGCAATTTAAAATGAGTATTAAAGTAAACACTAAAATCATTTAAACAAATAATTCAAAAGGGATGATTCAGAAGGGATCACATCTAATATTGGTGGGAAAGCATTCCTTCCCACAGCTGCTATCTGCAAATAGACTTCTAGGTAACAAAAGTGCATAAGTCACAAAAGCTGATTTCAACATGTTTTTGTCAAAGCAAAGGGTTTTTAATTGCAAATGTTTTGCTTATACAGCTTAATGCCACCATGTGGTCGACCATCCCAAAGCAAGTAGATGCAGCCATATTTTTGTCCTAATTGTCTGACCAGAAGTAAGTTAGACCATAAATTTTTGTTTACAATCTGACCAGAGCACTAGCAGTTACATGTTCCCAAGGGCTAGAAAATAATTGCACTATTTAATTATTTTTAGTCAGTTTTGTTATGTCCCCTATGAAAAGGCCATCTGCTATACCTTGCTCAGTGATGTATTTCAGAACCAATAAAACCAATATATTTATGTAAGTAATGTCAGCAATCTGATACGCCATAAGTAGATCTGATTGTTTCTTTTAGGAGGCATCATACTTGGATAACACTTTGAAAAGTAACATATCATTTCTATGCAGTTCCCCTCTCTCCCCATTGGAAAATTTTAAAAACAAATCTCGGTAGGGAGGGCTAAAAAGAGAAATAGTTAGTTAAGAAATGCTTCAGCAGTTCTAATCATTAAGACTCTTGAGTAGATAGGCATTTATGGCAAAACCATTATGTAACATTCTGCCAGAGAGTTCTTTAAGCCTTTTCTTTTATCCTTTGTGCAGTCACCTCAGATAAAGTTGTTTCTTACTAGATTTTTATTTGATGTAACAGTATATAATAAGTAGATAAAGGTTATTAAAAACTAGAATACTTTACTATGGTAGTAAGGCTTCAATGAGTTGAGTTTTGACTATTTTTAATGCTTCAATGAAAGTTTCCATTAATCATTTCCCATATACTGCTAAATAAGCAGCACCTATCTGACTTTGACTAATCTCCGGAAGCTAAGCAAGAGAAGGCATGGATACACCATCAGGAAACATCATGGTTGTAGTCTAGGTAAAAAAAAAGTGGAAAAGAAAAATATTTTAGAAGGCAACAGTAAAACTCTTCCATATTGTTGACAGGAACATGTTCATTTGAACCTGATTTGACATAGCTTTCATATTTATTTTGTAAAGTAAACAAATCTTCTCAGTTTCCAGTTGTTCTTAATTGGTCCACAGCAAAACATTCTATGCACATATAATAAAATAATTGGCCCAACTCACTTTCTGTTGTCTTTGACAGACAAATTCTATGGATAATCTGGAATAAGATTAAATACATATTCTATAAGGTTATTGTTGGGGGGATGGCCCATTAGATTTTGCTTTTAGGAAACATTCAATATACAAATATGCAATATACAAACTGTATAGATTTAATATAAAACAAAATTTTAGAGAAAGTTTTTGGATTTCTGTTCATGGAATGTAGAATCCCACTTTGTAAACATCTAGTTATCATTCTTTCCTGGTAGTGTCATTATGCTGTTTGAACTATTAAATTCCACTTCCTTCTCTTTAAAGTGATGTTTCTTTGATACCTCAACTGGAGAATGAAGAACATTACATATGTAGAGTTCTGATAGTTTTGAAATATAGCTAATGCTGAATGGCTCAAGATGTGTAGTCATATTAAATCAATGCTGGAAAGTTACAACTCTAATAAATTGTATATATGCTAATGGTGAATCTGATTTACTGCAACTATTAAAAGTGAAGAATGGAGCAATAGTCTTCTTAAGTCTGCTGTTCTCTCTGTTTCTCTTTTATTCATTCGCAGTACCACAAAACGTGCTGACTCTCTCAAGAATTCACAGCATAAATGGCTACAACATTGAAGTTACATGGGATGAACCAGTTGGGGTCAAAGGTGTAATTGAAAAGTATATTTTGAAAGCTTCCAGTGAAGATGGTTCCAACATATCTATTGTCAGTACAGAGATTTCTAATACTAGTTCATGTACAGGTATGTGCCAATAAATATAGCTTTAAAACAATAATATAGAGTTTAGTTTTCATGTGTACTATTTATTGGCGAAATGATTTCCAGGAAATGCCATGTGAGGAAATGAATATCCAAGTGGCATTTTGTGGAAGTCATTTCACCAACATAAACTCAAATATTCCTTATTCTTGATATAACTTAAGCAAATAAGGGAATAGAAATAAGAAGTGCAGTGTTTCATCACAAGATTCATGTTCGGTCCTATGATATCTAACCAAGGCTGTACAGTATTTGATCCAATGTGCTGTTTCCAATAACTTTCAGCAAAATTGAAGTTGTTCATAAAACCAGTAGCTATTGATTATCATTGCCAGTGGATCTAATTTTAAATCTCTTTTTTAATAAAAAAAAATATAGAGCAATGGACCACTTATTACTGCACTCCCTATTTATTAGGGAATACAGTATTGATCTAGTACTCATGAAGAATAAAATGCTAGATCGGCGGTCTACTATCCAGTCCTCCAGAACTGAAGAAAGAACTTTCTTTGGTGGGACTGAGTCTTCTTGAAATAATGTAGCCTTTATTCATTTGTTTTGAGAAATGAATTTCAAATTTATAAGTCACCTTGAATGTCCTTTTCAGACCAAAAATAGAATCCAATGAATCTATTTAATCTTCTGCAAGCTTATCAATATTTTTGCTCCACAATTTCTCAGACAGCTCTTAAAAATAAATGTTGCTTATATAAGGGATGGTGGTAGAAATTAGTATCTTAACTTTCCTTTGTGTAAATTTCAAGGAGCGTATTTTTGACTAGTGGGAGATTTAAAGTACATGAGGCAATTTCTTATTGATTTAGAGAGATGGCAAAACTCGAGTGAAAAAGTTTGAGACTTTGAAAGCATTATGGTCAACTGAATGTTTTCCAAGGACTTTTCACTTCAGCTACCTGATTATACCAGTTTTACTTGCTGTTTGCTTAAATTCACATGAACAGACTTTTGTCAGCACAAATATTTGGAGAATGGCAGTTCTGATACCTCCAAGATAATTCTGAACAAACATCAGCATTTTCTATTTATTGGTCACTCTTCCTCATTGATTGTATTCTTGGTTTAAATTGTATCAGTCATCATTTTTGGCAATCAGACAAACAGGTTTTAAAATTAAGTGACATTAAAGAAATGTACCTTATTTTCTAAACATTGGCTAGAATATAAAGAAAAACTGGACACCTGTTCTGCAAAATGTCATTGAAGTTCCCGTAAGTTTCAAACCAGATTTGATATGAAAAAAGGGGGGGATGCTTGGGAAGCAAAAATGGAAACCACTTTATATAGTGGCTTATTGTCCATGACCTTAGTGGCTTAAATACCAAGTCAGTATTTAATAAAATTCTCCTATCGGTTGACATATGCAAGCTGAGTGTGAGCTCCTATTTCTGAAGAGAACCTCCAATGATAGGAAATCATGGACACAAGGTTAATTGTAAATCTATTCCTAATGCCACACTCATCTTTTAAGAACTATAATAGGTACCAAGACTTCAGATCTTGTGCCCTCCACACAGCAACTCTCATTCTTTCTCGCAATAGAGGATGCCAGGAGAGACATCCTATGCAAGTGAGCAAGGAAGAGAAAAAATGAGAACACATATACAACTTATTTAACCATTATTTGATGAACAGATCAGTATTGGATGGGTTCACCTATTGTACAAAGCCAGAAAAATTAAACATTGTAGTTTCATGGAATGTGTGTTCACAGCCAAAGTAATAATAATTTCTGTAACTGTCTCCCATAGCTCTCCTCCATTAACTCATTCATACCTATACAAATTCTCTCCCTCTCTCCTATCTATCATCTGTCTGTCTGTCTGTCTGTCTGTCTGCCTGCCTGCCTGCCTGCCTGCCTGCCTGCCTGCCTACCTACCTACCTACCTACCTACCTACCTACCTACTTACCTACCTACCTACCTACCTATCTATCCAGTGCTTTTTTCTAAGAAAAAAAGGTGGCAGAACTCACACACGTCATACAACCCACCTTGCCTACCCTACAAGGTTCCATCCCAAAAAGGTTCCAGAACTCCGTTCTGGGTGTTCTATGAGAAAAAAAGTCCTGTATCTATCTATCTGTCTGTCTGTCTGTCTGTCTGTCTGTCTGTCTGTCTGTCTGTCTATATTTCATCCATCCATCCATCCATCCATCCATCCATCCATCCATCCATCCATCCATCACATAACATTCTTCCAAAGCTAATAAAATGTTTCCTCATTCCTTACAAACAATACTTCTAGATCAGGGAAGATGTGATGCATTTTTCACACTTTATTATATACTTTCCTACAAGTAAAGAATCCAGCTGATGTCTTTTCTATGCATTTTATGAGAAAAAAACAATAATAGGGACCCTTTTCTTCTACCTTGGATTTTTGAATTCCTTCACAATTGCAGGCTTTGTGATAAACAATTAGGTAGCATACCTTGTACTGTGAAACACTACTTTGCTGCTTGTAGAACAAATGAAGAAACTTTCTGACAATCCTCCAATATTGTCCAACAGCAGTATGGGATATTGAGAGAATCCTTGTGTCTGTACTGTTTGATTTGTTGCTGCTGTACCAACCTCCTTGCCCCACAATGGTATTTGTCTTTGAGCTTCTGGTTTCCATCGCAGCATTGTAATGAAGTACTTGAGACCCCAATACATATTGGGGGTTACAGACTGTATCTAGTTTTTGTTGTGTCCTGGACCTGCTGAATGACTCAGCAGGCTCAGGAAGGCTGCAGAAAGGCCCAGGCAGACACGTGGTTGCCCGGGACCAGACAGGCTGTCTCCAGCTTTGAGCGCATGCGCAAGGCTGGAGAATGTCATGGAATGATTGGCTGACACTGTCCCTGCCAGGGGGCTATAAAAGGGCCTGCGCCATTTTTGTTCTCTGTTCTGTTGGTGAATTGCAATAAAGGAAGACTGTTTTTGTTACTCCGCTTCGTCTCCATGCCTCATCTTTGGAAACAGAACATTGGTGACAGAGGTGGGATAGCTGCAAGGAAAACAACAAAGAAAAAGCTAGGCTGACTCACAAAGAGGGGCCTGAAGCGCTGGGAAGTTCAGCGTCCGAAGATTGCGACTCTGCCTGCCAGTACAAGAATGCTGGAGGTGAGCTCGGCAGGAGGGACCCCTTCTCAAACCTTGCAGCTAGAGGCGTTGACGAAGTTCCAGGGCAGCAACAATGTCCAAAATCGGCCGTCTCTCGGAATTTGATATATCACATCCAGAACGCTGGAGTTCCTATGTGGCTCGGGTGGAGAATTACTTCCGAGTAAACCAAGTGAGGGAAGACGGCCTCAAAGCTGCTACTTTACTGTGTGTCTGTGGGCAAGAGACTTTCTATATAGCTGAGAATCTGGTCACCCCAGCACCATTAGAATCAATTGCTTATGCTGAATTGAAGAAGATGCTACGAGAACACTTTGAACCCAAGCTCTCAGTGATCGCATGGTGACACGCATTTGAGCAGAGGGACTAGAGGCCTGGTGAGTCTGCTGTGGACTTTATTGCTGAGCTCCGACAAGCGGCTAGGCCATGCAAATTCAAGGACCTGGAAGAGAGGCTGTGGGATCGTTTAGTTTGTAGACTAAGAAGTCGTGAGCTGCAGCAGAAGATCTTTGCCAAAGAAGATGTCTCTTTCCAAGATGCCTTGAGAGAGATTGCAGCTGAAGAAGCAGCGGGTGGTGCTGTGAAGGCCTTGTGGCTCGCCAGGAACCCTCCAGTGGCAGCCTCCGTCCATCAAGAGGTCGCTCGGGAGGAATCCGAACAGGATCCTGAAGAGGAGGTGGAAGACTTCAGCAGGCAGCGGAGAGGAGGCCTAAGGAGCGTCCTGACAAGGCAACTGCATTCCCTCGGTGTTTCAGATGTGGAGGACGCCACAAGCGCTCCGACTGCCGCTTCCGCTCTGCCACTTGCCGGGCATGTGCCTCCATCTGTTTGGGTCGCCAGAAGGACCGGTCTTCAGAAGAATTGCTTCAGAAAGGTACCAGGATCCCCAGCCAACACAGGGTGGGTTTCTGCGCATCGCACATGAGCATTTTCAAAACTGAGGCACATAGGCCGCTTAGGAAGAAGCTTTGCATTGACATGAAGTTGCAGGGGGTTCCCCTCTCGATGGAGTTGGACACAGGGTCCGCTTTATCGATCATTTCCCTAGACACTTTCAAAAAGATTTCCAGTAGAAGTGGCTTACGAGTTAAACTCAAGCCATCCAATTTAATCCTCACTGACTTCCAGAATTCCAGAGTCAGCGTGAAGGGGAAGGCCACGTTCAAGGTGCAGTGTAAGGATTTTGAAGGGTTGCTAGATGTTGTGGTAGTTGGGGGTGATCGCACGACTCTTATTGGACTTGATTGGTTCGAGGTCCTTGGGATTCAAGTGACTGGACTTCACAGTCTGCAAACATCAGGCCTTGCAGAAGTTTGCAAGGAGTTTGCTGATGTGTTCAGTTCAGAGCTTGGCTCGTACAAGGGGCCTCCCATTGCTTTACGTTTAGACCCAGCCATCACACCCATCAGGATTAAGCCTCGAAGGGTGCCTTTTGCCCTGAAAAACAAAATAGATGCAGAACTGGACAAGCTGCTCCAGCAGGGCATCTTAGAACNGAATCTTTGCAAAGCTTGATTTGGCTCAGGCCTATCAACAGTTACCAGTTGATGAGGCAACGGCTGAGGCCCAAACAATTGTGACACACCGGGGAGCCTTTAAGGTGAAAAGGCTGCAGTTTGGGGTTAACGTAGCCCCAAGCATTTTCCAAAGCATGATAGAGCGAACGCTCCATGGTATTCCTGGGGTCTGCCCCTACTTTGATGACGTCCTCATTGCTGGGGAGTCATCTGTGAATCTAGCTGAAAGCCTGAAGGCTGTCTTGCTGTGTTTCCGCCAAGCGGGGCTGAAGCTGAAGCAAGATAAGTGTAAAATTGGAGTCACTTCCACTGAGTTTCTAGGCTTCTGTATTGATGC